AGATTGGCACCGTACTTCCCACGTATTTACATTTGCCTACTTTCAAATTTCTCATAAGTCAAGATAGGCCTTGATAAAGAAACGAAATGTTTGAGCTCTATAATGTTTTTGAATATGCCCTAACTGATGTCTGATTCCCTTAAAAATGCCCAGAAAGTTGTATAGCGATCTGAAAGCTATTTTAATTTTTACACAGCTGGCATTTAAACGATTTCCAGAAGTGACGTAGCACCACCTTCTCTGACCCCACATTGATTTACGTGTTGTAGATACCACAAAACAAAAAAACATTTATTTGAAATTTCTAAAACCTTCGCATTCACAGTGCTCTCCCTCTCCGTCTCGAAAAACTCTGACACCGCTTGATCTTCAAAAAAGCTTTGAGGGTACGTAGAATTTTATAGAAAGTTATGACTTCCTGTGGGATTCGCCGCAGTTGAGTGGAACCCCCCAACAGATTTTGATGTGGGGCCCCTGCGCCACTGTAGATAGATAATACAGCTTCTTCTCAACATATAATGCCACTGACGCGACGTGTTAACGAATAGTTTTGTTACTTGTCGTTTCCAATCTTCTTCGATCTGACTCGTTTGCGGTCTCTACATGTAAAACTGCTGTATCCGCGAAACAGCGGATTCCATTTATTCCACTGGAAGAATAGTTGCTATGCAACACAGAGAAATGGAGAATCCAACCATTAATACGGATGTTTTAGACTTGCGTTATTCAAACTCATTCACACAAGTATAATCCGGATAAATGAGAAAATTTGGCATTTTTAAACGGATGAAACCGTACGTGACACTACGCTAGCTAAGGTCAATATATATGCAAATAACTTCTTTTGAAAACGATTCAATTCGTCTTTGAAACTAAATATATCACACGTTGTACACAGTTTTCCATGGCCTGTAACCTATGTAGCTCTGTAAAGCGCATATCACGGAATCAAGAACGATCGGCAATAAGCTTTCGCGCCGAGAGCAAGCAACGAGTAACCGCAGGCACAGGCCAAAGTGTTAAAACCCTGTCACAGTCGACTAATAAAATCCTAACCCGCAGACTGTCCACTAATGATTTTTTAAAGCCCGGCGAGCCCACCACGCAGCCGACTCGTATAGTCATGCCATCCAGCCTGAACCGTGCCACCACACCACCAACAACTTTTGCGGTGATAATCTGGTTTCCTACATAAACGTAAACGAACGGCTTTATGGATACGACTGATAACTCTTGACAAACCGATCCTTAAACTCGTTGGCCACAAACATTTTGGTCGGTTTTAGAAGTACCTATCTGGTGAAAAAAGTCTACTTGTGGAATCACGGATTGATGGTATTATTCTTTCTGGTGACACTACCAGTGCTACATTGTCACTGCGTGTAAGATGTTTCGTGCAAATAAATATCTAAGGAAAGATTGATTGAAAGCTGAACTTCTGTTTCTCTTAGTTTTTCGTAAATTCGCCATATTAATTGTTTTTCATCTTGGGCTTCCCAGTCTGATAAACCTTGTTGTGTTGTCGAATTCAGTTTTGGGTATCTCTTGAGTAACGATGGTAGGTCTGGCCAAAACTTGATATGGTCATTAGCATGATGTTCGTAGACAAACTGGAGTAATTGGGAAAGGCAGTTATAGCTCTGACTATTCAAAGCTTCACCCCTCACTCTTCCCACAAACGGATGGGATACACCCCTGTTAGAAATTGCGCACCAGACAAGGATTTTATCTACAAATTTCGCTTTATGTTTGTATCTAAAATTATCTGGGCATTCCTCTACCTTGATCTTATAAAATCCGTCGTTACCCTTCATTTCAGAACTACTCAAAGTGAGATACTTTTCGTCATCTAAAATAATGTTTTTTCCATTAGCAAATCGTATCCGCCTGAGTGGACTACAGCATCTTGGTATACGTAGGAGTTGCGCTTGAGAGTATTTGGTTCAATTAAGCTTCCTTCGATATTCAGGGCCATTCCTCCTCAATTCCAACGATATCGTACTCTTAGAAGATCTGTATCGACGAGTCAGTATCCTTGTTGACATTCCAACTTGATTTTCTGCTCTTCTCACCAATCTCTCTGGCCTCTGTGCGGTGAATGCACGTGGTCTTCCACTTTTATGGGAGATTCAGACATGGTATTCCCTGATCGCACCCCTCTATTGTTCGATAAATGGTTCTGCGTAAAATGTTTTCATTCTGGAATAATCGACAGATTTCAGCTTTGGGTACCCCCAACCAACTGTAGATACTTTTTATTTCTAATTTATACGACATCTTAAAGCGATAACATCAAAATGAATAAATGTCAACTGACAGTAAAGTAAGTAAACAAACTTTTGTTTCCAAAGGCAACTTGATATTATTTTGTGTGTGTTAAAATTAAAGTCAATGAATTTTGTGCCAAAACTTTTAGGACATACGTTACGACTTGTATAATATAAAATCATAGATGCTATACATACAGATGTGAAACTCATCGAGAAACATACGAATGCGCTCTTGAAAATCGTTGTCAAGCAAACAAAAGAAAATAGCTCCGATCGAAGATATCGTGCGTATGTCTGAGCCCCTAAAAGATTTTGAAGAGCGGGGGAGGCAAATTTTCCCTGGGGTGGCGAAATCTCAAAGATCAAAAAGTTTTTGTATGATTTACAAAAAAGTGCTTTCTCATATAACGTACGTGTTACATTAAGTAATACCTACCTACTTTTCCTGATAACCATTTGAACCAGTTGCTTTCAAATGTCTCAAACTAGCAACTGTAACTGACCACTATGCTGCAATGCTTTTTGTATTCTGTAACTATTTTAACTGTTATTGGTAGCCTAAAGATCCTATCCAACTCACTTTTTGATATATACAGGGTTTGTCCGGAAAGTAATAGGACTGAGTCGGTTTAAACAAAATTATTGAGCCAATCGTTACAATTCTTTAAAAACTTTCAAAATAGGCTCCTTCTGCGTCGATGCAGCGCTGCCAGCGCGATTTCCAAGCATTGAAGGCGTCACGGAAGGCATTATCCGGAATAGCCTTGAGAGCCGTGGCGCAAGCTGCGGATCCCCTCTGTCGTCTCAAAATGCTTGCCTTTCATCGGCCTTTTCAGGCGAGGAAACAAAAAAAAGTCCGGGGGGCCACATCTGGGCTGTAGGGCGGCTGCGGAAGCGTTGGGATGCCGGCCTTGGTCAGGTAGCTGTTCACAAGAAAGGCGGTGTGAGCCGGGGCGTTGTCGTGGTGCAACTTTTCCCAGTTTTCATTCTTTCTCACCCCTTTTGTTCAAAAATCAGATTTTTTCGAGCAAGCCGTGTAACATAGGTAAGCTAGGCATTCTTACCGAGAGTGCTGCGAAATGGTGTAGGTAAACACGCGGATTTCTGCACGCGCACCTCTCCACCATTCAGGATTAGCAACATAATTTTAGCATCGAGATACAACAGTCTGTACCATTTTACCTATTAAAAAAATGGCAGGCTTGGCCGTAGAGGGGAGCGCGCGTTCCCTCTCATCTACATCCGCCGTTGCGTTCTGGTTGTACTATTTTTGAGGCTTTTGTTGTACATGATCAATCAGGGCCAAATACGCACTGTGATTCGGACCCCGGTACTCACGGGAGCTCCCGAATGCACGTTATAGAGCCCCAGATCTTACAAAGTCTATGTTCACATTTTGCTCCAGTACGCATTCTCCCTCTCAACCCCCTCCTCCCTCCTTCAACCGCCCACTCTTCAACCAATCACCTATCAGTAGCGGGAACCCAGAACAAGCTATGTGATTCAGGTTAGTCGGCCGCCAGCGATCTAAACGCTTAATTATTTGACACGGTCACCACTATATGAAGTATCAAATAGTTATCAAACTATCCAAATTTTGTTTATTTATTAAGTGTCATTTAAAACATTTAAGAAAATTCGATTTAGGCACCTGTCCTCCATCGAGGAGAAACTTACGACAGTCTGCAATTTGATTTATGTTTTATATGAATTCGAGATATTGTTACCTTGTTCTATACCTTATGCCGGAGCTCCCCATAGCGCTAAGCTGGAAACTATTCGTTGTCCAAGTATGAATTTTATTTTTCTAATCCAAAACAGTTTTTATATCTTATCACTCAGTTGCTGAGTTTCCAATTTGGTACAGATCTGGCACCTGAGCTTCAAGCTATATTTAACAACAAAAGAAATACAAAAATTATGATATTCAAACGGATATACCACCAATTCACAGGTCCGTTCGTCAGTCGCCCTCCTGAACAGGTGTTTTAGAAAGGAGGATCCGATTTGTTACATAATAAGGCTCGAGAAGGTGAAGGTCTCCTTCTGGGACCGAGCTTTAGGAAGTGCCTGTTAAGGATCGTAGATACATACGAAGAAATAAATTACATCTCTTAGGATACCTAATCTTGTATCACCGTCGGGAATCTATGTTGAATGAATGATGCGCTGGCTCCTTATGGTGGCCGATATGCCTCTAATTTCATGTTTCAGTCATACCTATGTTCTTCGACTTTTCATGAGGCCATCACGATTCAGATCTTCTAAAACCTCCATCGAAGAATTTACATTCAAGCGATACCTAATCAGCTTGAAGCTGGGAACGAGGTAAGGGTAAAAATGTGCTTTCTTCGCAGTTAAAATATGCAGTCTGAACGTTTCTCTGCCTGAGCATGAGGTCTGGGGCTGCTATTGGCTTTTTTAAGGCTGGCGCTGAATCATTTAGCACCGCAGTACCTTACGACGGTGCAATACATTGAAATTGCGATGGCGTCGAGGCAACAAACAGCAATTTCCCAAAAAATTCCGAAGTATCCTTCCACAACCAACATTGTTATCACCAGCAAAACCAACGGGCAAGCCGAAAGCATGTTCGGTTACGCCCCAGACTCCGCCTTTTTCCGGAAGACGTACACCTTATGCCACCGCGGAATAGGAATCAAGACGGCCACAACCAGCCTCCTACAATCCGCGACGGCGCGGTTTTCGTTTGTTTCGCCGCCGCGGCCTGCTAGATCGCGGCTCAGTCTATGGAAACTCGCGGTGAGGTATAAATAAAACGACATCGCGGTAGGTCTGGAACCGAACAAATCGCGGTCGCGGCGTGCTGTGGAAAAACAAGAGAAAAGCGCATGTCACCGGAACGACCGCGTGTCACCGGGTTTTGGCGCGAATCGCTTTTTTGCTGGACGATGTTTTTTTGTTTGTGTGAAAAACTGGGAATTACGCTGCGCAACTAGTGTGTTACGTAAATCGGGGAATGATTCATCAATGGAACAACATGTGAAAGCTTGGCGGAGCGATTCAACAGATATCGGAAAGGTTTGGAATATTTCTTTTTTCAGTAGTTCTTAGAGAATATGCTCAGACAGAGTTGTAGGCGTTATGAATCACTTGATTCCTCACATGGCATAGGTTTTTTGTGAACGCTACTGAACACTCTACAGAACTTTAGCCGTGCGCAAAATGTTTTGGAGACTCATCGGCACCAAGATGATTGATAAAATACCTTCTGTAATCTTTTTATGAACATTATAACATACTGAGATAAAGAAAAAACCTGGAAGCTATTCCGGCTTTACCCTATGGGGTACCGAGTCCATGCTCCATCAAGCCAAATGCCCAAAAATCAAACGAAAGAAAATGAAATGTTTGAGTACCCCACTCCGAAATGGCAAAGTAGGACCCAGGATTTGGCTCTGGGCTGGTGCCCCCCTTCAGCCGCAGGCACCAAGCTTCCTGAGAAAAGAATTAATTGACCAATGAAAATTTTAATTGGGCAAATGAAAAAAGTTAATTAACGATGTGACAGCTAACAAGTCTGCAAACTCCGATTTCTAAAACAGTTAACTTGAATCTAAAAAAAACTAGTTTAATTAAACCAAAATGTAATCGTTTGATTAAATTTATTAAACCGTTCACTTAAATTGAGTACACTAATTTATTTAAAATTAAAATGAGAGTACCTGGCCCAAGTAATATAATTTAATTATGTTTAATGAATTTGCTTAAATAGTTGAGGTAAAAGTATTTGCCTAGATTTAATGACTTATTTTATTTAGGTTCAAGAGGATATTTGAATAATATTTGGAATTTAAAAGAACAAATTGCATTATATTATAGCTGCTCTGAAAAATCTTAGTTATCAAAAAAGTTTGAAAACTTGATATTTTTAGTTGATGTTTTCGAATCCGAGTTATAACTTCCAAATTTTATAACAAAATAAGATATTTTTATTTTAATTGATATGAGATCAAGTTTTACCAATTATTTTTATTTTTTATATTACCATTGACTAGAAGCAATTCTTTGTTTTAAATTCAGAAGGTAGAGAAAGGGATATCTGAAACTGAATCAGGCCACTTGATTATGTGTACAAGAATTGTAATTTTATTCCTAATATTATTATTGTATATTATTATTACAACGCATTTACATATTTAAATAAATTCAACATCACTTTAAGCAAACTATAGGTCAAGCTCAAGCATATGTTTGGTATAAATGAAATTCATTGACCTAAATACGGTGTCATAAATAACATTTCAAAGTTCTTGTCATTCCGTCACCTCAGCAGTGACTTTCCTATACATAGTGTTTCATTGCGAGCAAGAAATATTCTAACTATAATTGGCCCACTTCACAGCTACTACACCAACAATGGCAACATTCGAACATGAAGCTCCTCGCAAAAATCACAAATGAAACTGAGGAGTTCGAAGCGCATCACCGGCACTTCGTCTGTTGCGTACTCAGGATCATTCATCATGAAGGGTCGAGTCCTACCGAGTCCGTTATTCTGATAAACTCTTTAACTGTTAACTGTTTCTGTCAAAATGTTTAATTGTTTTAAATGTACCTTTTCTATATAAATTACCTAAACTAATTAAACAGTTCATTGAAACAGGTACATGGTTTGCTATTTTCAAGCGAATAAGTTTAATATCATGTTGCTTTTAATCAAACTGTTTCCGGAAAATTCAGTGTAATCGAACCGAATAATTTAGTTGCTTAGAATAATTAAAAAATTAATTACGGCTAGTGAACATTTTCTAGAACAACTGTTTAATTGGGCACGTTTTCTCAGTGTACCTATCGTACAACTCCAAAGGTCTCCACCCTCTTTGTTAGAATACATTTCATTTTCGTACGTTTCTAAGTAATCTGAACATGTAAGTAATTTTGAATGCGTTTGCACCTTATCTTGAGTCTTATGTTCTTAAAATTCCAAACAGTAGGCATGGGCACTCGCAGGAATTTTTCTTAGGGGCATTCAAATCCTAAAAATCCCCAAAATTGTACACAAAATCGTACTGAATATACAAATATTAAGGTCCAATCGGATTCGACTGCGGATAAATGGACTCCAGGCGAGAGCGAAATGCAATGACCAACTTTGAAGTTGCTGTGTGCCCATAGGGTAAAGACAGAATGGCGAATAGTTATGAAGATTTGTACGTTTAGTCCGTGTCAATGTGCAAGACCGGAGGGCTTCACGAGAAAAATCAGCATCTTACCGCTCCTCCCAAATAAGTATGTTTGGGAAAAAATGTCATACAAAACAATGAAGATCAATAAAAATGTAACAATACATATCAATGAACTATTGATACCATTATGGACTCAAGAGCAGGTTCGTACATCCCAAGTACTGAGCTAGACTAAATTAATTTGTTAACAACAATTTCTTAACTTTTAAATGAAATATAATTACTAATTTCTTGAATTTCAATTGGTAATTTGTTTGACGGTAGTCTGAACTATTTTCAAATTTTATCTCTTGTGTTATACTCGTGATAAACATTGATGTTTGGAAATAAACTATTATATATCTTGACTCAGGTTACGCATTTCAAAATGTACTATATGTACGTATACAATCCCTTGACTTGAACATTTTTCAGCAGCAAAACATAATGTTATGATTATTTTTTGGGTCATAAATACTCTCTCAATTTTACATGATTTTCCCCATACCTCAATGTTGTAAGATATGTGGCCAGTGCATAATATACCGGGTGTTTCCAAAGTTGAGTCATTTATTTTAACTGCTTGTAGGACTCGTCAAAAGGAGTTGATATAAGTACCAAAAATCACCTGTATAAAAGTTGCGTAATCAAAGACATAGTAAAAGATTGAAAATTTTATAAAATAAGAATGGTATTACACAGATTTTTTGATATTGTCAACCACTGACGTGTAAAATCTTGACGTTTTTTGTTTACTACTCGTATCATTTATCAAAATTTGGCAGTATGTCTTTTAATAGTGGATATACTTTCATTTGTCTGATTAGATTGTGCGAAAAAATGGCCCGTGGTAACGGAAACAATGAACTAGTGGACATAATACTCGTACTATCATACGGAGAGTGCCAACAAAATACAGCCGCAGCATGAAGGTTGTACGCGGAAAGGTTCCCTTGAGGAAATCATCCGGTCTCACGGATGTTTGAAAACAAAAACACACGAAAGTATCACTTTTTATTTCAATAAGTGTTCAATATGTTGCTCGTTATTGGCCAAACAATGATATAGGCGATGTTCAAATTCCTGACGGACATTTTCAAAAACATGTTGTGGAATATCATAGCAACTTTCGATGATGCGTTGACGAAGTTCATCCAAACTTTCAGGTTGGGGAGTAAACACGATAGATTTCAAATGGCACCATAGAAAAAAGTGTAATGGAGTCAAATCAGGAGATCTAGCATGCCATTCTAAAGGCCCTCTTTGCCCTATCCATTTATCTGGAAACTCGTCGTCTAGCCATTGCCGAACCAGAAGAACATAGTGAGGAGGAGCGCAGTCTTGCTGAAAATATATTTCAGCCTTATCAAGCGTTTCCATCCTCTTTGATTTGGTTTTCAATGGTTTCAGTTATAAGCGGATTGATGGTATTTTCCAAATTTCCATTAATAAACAATGGCTCAATCACTTTGTTTCCTAAAATGCCTGCCCTTACATTAATTTTTAGGGGTACTGGGCATGCCCTTCTACAAAAACATAAGGCTGTTCATTGCTCCAATACCTGCAGTTATGCTTATTAACAAATCCATTTAGATAAAATGTGCATTCATCACTGAAGCAGATATCCTTTACATAAATGGTATTATCATTTATCGCTGGAGTTATTTGTTCACAAAACTCCGATAGTTTGAGTATATTTGGTAACAAGGTCCAAAACATACCAATGCGAAATTATCTTCCCGGATGTCTGGCGTTAAACGTGACGACAGTTTGCTGAGCACATTGATTTTGGGTACCATAAATTAGAATCATTTCGGCTAGTATTTAAACCATTTTTCAAGTAAAATCTGAATCAATAAATTAATATAATATATATATATATATAATAATAAATACTGTACACCCAGGATATCTGTGTTGATGAAAAGAATGCGAAAAAAAAATCGGGTTGTAATTTTGTTGTTGCCACGTCTAACCTTCCGAATTGGTGTTTATGTTGGTAGTTTCCGTTTTAAATTATAAACGAATTCTAGATTTGGCAAACCCTAACGGGCAAAATTTTGAACGCTTATTGAAATAAAAAGTGATATTTTCGTATTTTTGTTTTCTGTCTAAACGTTAAAATAAAGGACTTCGGAAGACCTTTCAATCAAGCTCTTACTCGATACCCCTTGTCATTTAAAATTTTCAAAGGAATGACCATGGGGGCCGAAGATGAAAGGGGGTGAAGTAGTTTCTGGTTAAAAAGTTGTTCTCCTTAACAAATCTTTTGACGTGTCTCGGAGTTTTTTCTTTTATTCAGTGGTTTCGGATAAGTCCGGGGTGAGAAGTTTTCAAATGAACACCCTGTATAACAAATTTTCAGACTTGAACGTCTAGGAGGGCGCGCGCCCCTCGTCTCTTCTATGTTAAATCCGCCACAGGAAGATTTTTGAATGTTTTTCGGAATACAAGTAGTAGGCTAAATTGGGAACAACGTATTGCACTCCAAAGGTGTACTCCTGGCGTGATAATTGCCACACCGTTATTACCATTCGATTTTGCTGTTCACAAAAGCCTTGCTTATGGACGTTACTAAAGGTAATTTACCTGGATTCATTTTGTTTAGCTATTATAAAGAGTACACTACGTACATCTAGGTGTACTCGAAGCAATGATTCATCTTCATCCAATTGAGAATTTGGCTTTATAGTTGCGTTTTGACTTTTGTCTCTGGAGTCCTGTCAGCAACTCTTTCAACAATCGGGAAAATGGGCATGCTCTTAGCGTAACAGAAATGCGGAGAGAAGATCCTATAAAATTCACAAATCGTAAGAGTTACATTATTATTCCGATTCTAACTATTGCTTCGACTGCGTTCTATACTCGGGAACTGATAAGGAAGAAAGCAGCAAAACACATCGTACGCCTATGCTAACGCGGCATCTTTTCGGACTGACAAACTCCACGCGTGGGTATCCTGCCATATTCAAGAAGATGCCGCATTAGCATGGGCGTGCGATGTCTCTTGCTGCTCTCTTCCTTTTCAGTTCCCGAGTATACCGTAGAGTGTCATACAATAAAAGAGTGGGAGTAAAGGTATCGAAACATCACTGAAGGAGGCGGGAATGTCTGATCCTTTGATAGCTGATGAACAAAGGTTTTCGTATTGAGAACAAAACATTCCTTCTGGGAGATACGCGTTGGTATCCACATAAATATCTTTGCGATGTTACCTTGCAATTCTGATATCCAAAACGTACAAGGACCCGGGATATTATTCTGCTGGGATAACCAGGAGGCAATCAAGAAAATAAGAGAAAGAGATCATCGAAACACATCGTACGCCCATGCTGAAGCGGCATCTTTTTGGATTGACAAAGTGTTTGCCGCCATATTAAAAAAAGCCACGTTCGCATGGGCGTGCGATGTCTCTTGGTGCTCTCTTCCTTTTCAGTTCCCAAGTATACCGTAGAATATCCTACAATAAAGGAGTGGAAGTCAAGGTGTCGGAAGTTCACTGAAGGAGGCTGATCCTTAGATAGTTGATAAACAAAGGTGGGTTTGGTTACAAGGTTTTCCGATTCAGAACAAAACATTTTTCTGGGAGATACGCCTCGGTACCCTAATCAATATCTTTGCGATATTAGCTTGCGATTCTCATATCCAAAACGTACAGGGACCCGTTGGAATGAAAAAACATCCCAGTACGGTTGAGAATTTACAACAAATATACCAAACTTTTCCAAAATATCTCAGTTAATTTTGGTACAAAACTGATTTATGATTTGCTATTGGCTGATTCTTGTGGCGCTAACTCCTCGATGAGTTGGCAGGCGTATACACAATCTCTTTGTATGTAAATATTAGTTAATGGTAAAATCTTTATTCATGATTCACAACATTGAAAAACCGATATTAATCGCTGATACCTATCCATTAGATTCAATGAATTAAGCAGCAGGCTCTGAATGTGGTAGCCTACCACTGGTAGGTGTATGAACACAATGAGAAACCGCATATGCACCGCAGGAATGTTGCGTTTTGGGTTTTCAGCTGGACAAAAATTATATGACAAAAACTTCGGATTAGATTTGTTTTTGTTTTTTGTATTTTAATAATAAGCTATTTGCGGTACAGCTCTGAAGGACTGTATAAACTCAAAAACTGGTTATCGCAGTTTGTTAGCGATAAGCACAAATCGTTTTACAAGTTGCGGATAAGAGATTGGTCTTTGGATGAGTTTGACATGAACAAACTGGGTTAACTGTAGACGAGCTACTGTCGAAGTGTCTATGATAGGTTTCCGTATACAGTCTAAAAAAAAATTAACCTTTTTAGCTAGTGATCGTAGTCTGTTTTATAGTGTCGATGGAAGCGTGCCTTCGCGTTTTATATTTAACATAAGACGCGTTGTAGGTTTTACTTTAATAAAAATAAGACAGCGCAAAGCGCCTTCTATCACATCAAAATCGACCACTGTGGAAGGCGCATAACTGCTATTAGTTGGAACTGCTAGAGAGTCAGCTGTCTGGTTGTCTTTGTGGTCGAACTGACGGAAGCATCATTTTTGGTGTATTCAATGGCAAGTAGACCACATCTGCCAAATTATTGAACGGAAGCTGCGATTTTTTTTTGTGAGGGGGGAATGCGTTTATGCACCATACCATAGCCCGAGCTACGGCGTGTGTGGAACTCCAGGTTATCTTGAGGAGACCACCTAATACCCACTAAACCCTAACCTCTGCGTGACCCGACTCATCAGCGTCTTGGTAGGCCATGTGTTGTGCGTGACCTGCGGTCTGCTACAACGTCTCCTCATGTGTTTCAGGCTCTGGGAACGCCGGGTTAGTTCCCTCCTCGCGCAGTTCTATCGATGTCGTTAAGCGAGCATCGATATAGGGTTTGCTATGTTCTCTTGAAACTCTTGTTTTCGAAAAATCAAGAGTTTCAAGTCCTCTAATGTAGTAGGTTACCTGGTCCTGGTTGGTCCTGGTCCTGGTTGGTCCTGGTCCTGATGCGTCCTGGTCCTGATGGGTCCTGGTCCTGATGGGTCCTGGTCCTGGTTCCACGTTTTGTCCTGTAGTCATTACTGGTCTAATGCTTGTCTTGCGTCTTGGCCTCGAGTGCATCCAGGCGGGTTATGATGGCTTGCATCATAGCTAGCAGTCTGTCATCGCCGTGTTGCTTCTGCGCCGTAGTTCCAGTAGCAGTGGCGGCTGCTGGGGCAGAAGTTGACTTAGTTTTCTTCGCTTTTTCAGCGTAAGACGTCCTATTTGAGGTGGAGGCTGCTTTGGGGGCAGCAGCAGCTTTCCTCGGGGCCTTACTACATCCTTTGTAGTTTGCTGGGTGTCCTTCTCCGCAAAGGCAGCACTTGGCATTTCGCTGACCTGTTGGCGGCGTCGGCAGACTGCAGTTGGTGCTGTTGTGGTCCTCACCACACTTGACGCACCGTTCAGCGAGACGGCAGTTTCGCTGCGTGTGCCCGTACCGCTGGTAGCATTGGCTGGGCTGGGTCGATCTCTTTTTCTTCTCTTCATCTGTTGAACCTCGGCGTCTGCGATCCCTTGGCTCACTAGATCTTCTCTGATGTCTTCGGTAGACATCTCTCTGGTAAGTCCTCGAATCACCCTCTGGTCCAACTTATCCTCCTTCAGCTGGTAGGTGAAGAAGGGCCTCTTCATTGAGTCTAGCAGGATAACTAGCTGCCGGTAGTCTGCGGGTGTCTTGGTAAACACCTTCACACTGTTTCCCGCCGTACTTGCCTTAGAGAATTGGATTCCCTTATTGTTGATCATCCTGCTTAAGGATGACCAATCAGCGGTGCGCTCAATGTTGATTGGTGGAACTCCTGTTCCTGACATGGGGGCTACGATGGTCCTGGCTTCTCTAGGACTCTTCTTCTGGGTGGCAGCTGGCTTCTTTGACTGCCTGGGTGCATCGTCTACGTCGGAGGAGGAAACCCTTACTCTTTTCTTCCGCCTGGTGACGACACTGTAGTCCGTGTCGCTCTTGTTGGCTGACGTCTTCTGTTCTTCTGTGTCGTCCTGTTGCTGGCTGTCCACTTCTTGGGCATCCATCTCATTGTCCGATGTGGTCTTCTGGTTCTCGTCTTCTTCTTCTGCTAGGGTCTTCTTCGCCTTGAGGAGCTTCCCTTTGACTTCCTCTATCTCCTGTTGTGCCTGCATGAAAGCTTCTTGCAGGTTCTTCATCTGCTCTGCAAGCATGGTGAAAGCATCTTCTTTCTGCTTTAGCTGGCTTGTCAGCTTCTTGATTCTCGCCATCGTAGATAGCAATCGTATCGCGATGAAAATCGCACAGTAAGTCCGGGTGGGTCGCAGTCGCACAAGTGTACACTCGCAACGGCTGCTAGCTCGGAACTGGAGCTGCGATCCCTTGCAGGTCCAACTAATAACAGCCATCCGCTTTACGCAGTGGTTGATTCTGGTGTGATAGATGGCGCTCTGCGCTGTCTTATTTCGATAGAACGTACCTCCGGTATAGAGGATAGTTGCGATGTTTTCGTTCGTTTGTCCAGAAACAAGAGACCAAGCCTAGACCATGCTGGAGAGTAGCCAAGAAGCACGAAACAGCTGTCCATGGTTGGATGTCTTTTTGGTCAGAAAGACGAAAGCATCATGTTTGGTTTATTACTTTAATGTTCTTACAGCTTCAATGTTTCCCTTTTATTCATTATTGTCTGTCAAAGCGGTCCGTAGGTTAAAGTATCGTAGGTCAGTGGTCTGCCCAGATAACAGACAAAACCAGGAAGGAAGAAGGGAAGAGAAGAGATAGGAAAGGAAGAGGGAGAGCAAAGAGGACATAGTGCATTAGTTTGAGGTGTGCCTTAACGTTCTTAACTAGCATCCGGTAATTTTGAATTGATCCTAAAATTAATTTAGTAATTGGTTCTTGTAGAAAAATAGAAATTTTGGTTAGACCTGAAGTCGCACGATTTACCTGACAATTATTTTTCATTTGACGATGCGGTGGGGTTATGTGAGGACTCTTACACTAAATGTTACATTTTTAAACAATATGCGCTTTCTCACACGCCGATCACCCGGCAGGGTTATTACGTAAAAAAAACTAAATAATTTCAATGTGTGCCGCTAGTTGATTCCGCGCCTACTTCAGGTGAGCATGAAGTTAAGGTCAGCTAGTTCAAAGGTGTCTTTTTGTCACTTGTACTTCCTAAGTCACTGGGAGGAAACAGGTACACGAAAATGCTTTGATTGCTACAAACCCCGGTAATTCTATGCACCTATTAGATCATCATAGATTTCCCCGTACACCTGCGTAAATACAAAAATAAGGACACATGTGTATTATCTATCAATTATCTTAGCTTCTTTAGTAGAATCCATATTGAGATATCTTGAGTTTTTCAAAACACAACACGGTGATAATGTAGAACTTCACAAATTCTACCATAAAAAACAAATTAGGTAGTTACCACAAACAACTGTCATAGATAGCTAGAGTAGTGTAAGCAAAGTCTTTTTGTTTATGGCCAACTAGTTATTTCAAGTATGACCTTTTAAATACGTGATGAATGTGATCAATTTCAGTTATAGGATTTTTTGACAACTTTTTGAGTGTTCTGGACAACCGAACTATTTGTGATACAAAGGCTTTGCAAAATCTTTCTCCTATCCTTCCGACAATCGACAATCTGATAACGTTGCTCTGACTAACCTCGTCACGCGCCACTCCCCAGCCACCTATGTATGTTCGTCTGTCAAGACACCATTCAGATATCTATCAGACCTAGAAGCAGGTGTATCAACGTTAGCCGCGTTTCGTATTTAAAATATTTGACTATCAGTTCTAAAGGAAAATTCACGGGCAAACCCATGACGAGCAAATTATGCCTGTTGGGTTTGTAGAATTACCTGGCTTGAAAGCATATAAATAGGTATACTAAAGCCAAAAAATTGAGAAACTTCAAAAAACACAGTATGCGAGATTATTTTTTTTTTCGCTTTTTTGCCTCTCGCTCTGCTGTCACTGAGCTGATTGTGAAAAAATACAATGCTTTTTTGTCCTTGGCAAAGTGGTAACTTTGTGTAATAATTTCATTGAAATCCGAGCGGTACTTTCCAAGTTATACTCGTATAGTTAGCGGTCAGACCCACGGAAACGATTCTGGGCATTTCCGAATTCGCGATTACAATATTTCCTCGCCAGTTGCGTAGGAAGTAAAAAGGAGGTAGTACAGACATCGGTATAGTTATAGTGGATAATGACACTTCTTCACTAGAGCTCTAACATGGCATAAAGCATGATCAAAGTTTTTTCATATTTTTTAAAGTGCTGGAAATAGCATTCTTTATCAGTTATGCAAAAAATAGTCTTCCAGGAACCCACTTCGAGAATCTATTATTTGAAAATTTTCCCCACCCTTAAATATTATCTATTCAAGGTTATATCCTCATGTTTTTAAATTATAATATTACTATAATGGTAACGGTAAGTTTTTTCTTATACGCAAGCCTTTGTTCTTTCTGCAGAGCATATTTTTTATTACGGTTGTGAAACTTGTAGCTGCCATTTTATATAAATTATTCAAAAATATTGCATACGTTGAAGAATTAATGCTATCTTTATCTCATTTCTTAGAAGATATTTCTAATGCTGCTGTAATCTTATATAATATTCTTAATGCCGAATTCTGATGTACGGATTTTCCTAGAAAAATATGGTCAATCGTATGTTCCTTGAAATAGCTAATGTTTGCGGGGTTTTTGTGTTCTCTTAGTTTGGAGCTTGGAATGATGTTGTATACAATATGAACATTAAAGACATTCAAGAGAGAGAAAGAGAAAAATAATAGAAACATTATTTGCCCGATAGTGACCTGCTAGATCGCCCGAGCTAACGCCAGTTAAATTTCAGTTTATTTACAGAGCAAACTATACTAAGTGACATATAAATCCGAACACCCAGTTTAAATGGTTTTATTTTAATAAAAGTCGGTGAATGTATTTATCTTACTGTAAATAACAAGTGAAAAAATTTTCAGCCTTATCAGTTGGACATTCCGTTTTTTATACTCCTTTTTTTTAATTCACTAACGCTCTAAAAATGAATATTTCAGCCGCAGTAAAGAATCAACGTTGGCGGATTTTGGTTCTTGACATCCTTTACGATCGGTTACGATGCCTAGAGTACGGAGACCTGTACGATTTCGTCAACTTAGTGAGTTTGATAGGGGCCGTATAGTGGGAAGCTGGACTTTCTTTTCGGGCAATTGCAGTTAGAGTGCAAAGAAGTGTAGACACTGTGGTTAGGTGTTGTCAGGCATGGCTTCGAGAAGGCCGTACGCAAAGAGCAAGGGGCACTGGACGCCGCCGTAGAAGAACAGACCGTGAAGATCGCCGCCTAAGATTATTGGCCTTAAGGGACCGTTTCTCCACTACCAGGTCCATTGCAAATGAATGGTTTGCAGAACACGGAAGACCTATTGGCATGCGAAGTGTTTACCGACGAATGAGAAGTTTTGGCTTGTTTTCATACCGGCCACACTGGGTCCTCCCTTTAACTCGAGAACACCGACGTAATCGCCTTGAGTGGTGCAGACAACGGTCACTCTGGGATCAGGAATGGAACAGTATTGTCTTTAGTGACGAGTCTCGATTTTGTTTAGGCATGCACGATGGTTGTGCCAGGGTTAGAAGGCGACGTGGTGAAAGGAGGAATCCACAGTTTTTTGTTGAAAGACATGTTCATCACACTGTTGGAGTTATGGTTTGGGATGCTATAGCTTATGGTTCCAGGTCACCTTTAATCTTCATCAGAGGTAACATGAACGCGCAGCGTTATATCCACGAAGTTCTAGAACCCCATCTTTTACCCTATCTTGACACCCTGGCAGATCCAACTTTCCAACAAGATAATGCCCGACCACATGTTGCAAGAGTCACAATAGACTTCTTTCAACATAATGATGTCACATTGTTACCATGGCCACCAAGATCTCCCGATATATCCCCAATTGTGCACGTGTGGGATATGATGGGTAGGAGATTGCTCAATTTGCAACGTCCTCCTCAGACTCTAGAAGCACTTCGAGAGGAGTTGGTGGTTGCCCGGAATGAGATACCACAGGAGGACATTGACCACCTGATCAGAAGCATGCCTAGGCGCGTTGGAGAATGCGTAGCACATCAGGGTGCATCCACACATTATTAAAGGTCAAAGGGCTTTAAAGCAGTGCAATCATTTTGAAATTTTTATCATTTACTTATTATGCTTCATTAAGTACTTATACAAAATTTTATTAAAATAAAACCATTTAAACTAGGTGTTCGGATTTATATGTCACTTAGTATATATAAAATTAGACCCCAAAAGCTAGACGATCTACTAAACTGAATTTTGCAAGAATCTGCTTTAAGTGACAGGCATGACTCGTAGACTAGTTTTTTCATTCGTTTAGCTGCTTATCATGAAGTTCAAGGATTACATTTGGAACACATGTGCTAGATTCTACATAAACAATTTTTTCATCAATGAGTCAAAGATGAAAAATGTGACAGGCAAGGAGACTCACGTCAATCAAGCACCCCAAGACGTGAGAGGCCAAGGGACTCACGGGAAGCAGGCACTGCAAATGGGAGCAGTATTTACTACCTCCACGCCTCCTAGATAATGCTAGAAGTAAAAACCTAAACATCAGAAGATTAAATCTGTGATTGGTGACACCAAAAATCCAACCAAGTTGTGTTTCCAAAGTTTTTCAGACATGAAGTAAGAGATGTACTTGTTGATATCATCTGGGTGTGGTCTTCGCCTTAAAAATTATAAGTCAGGGTAAAATCAAAGTTAAATACGTTTCCAGTTACAAAAGAAGTTGATCGTGAAATGAGCCTGAACTTGAGTTGGTCAGTAGAGGTGTCCTTGAACTTTCATTTTAATACAGTTCCGGGCGTAAAATTTCCGTTTATTTGATTGCCGGAGTCAAAAAGGAGTTTTCCATAAACAAAGTTGATCCTGTTATAACCTTGATGATGATCAAGGTCAGATTCAAGGTCAACATTGAACTCCCTATTTAAAGTTAATGCAGACCTGGCCTTGATTTTTTTCAAAAATCTTTTACCTGGAAAAATGCTGAGCCGTTCCTATACTTTTGTTACAGCCCAAAACTTACGCCTTCACATTCAATCACAAGTGCTAGTGTACGTATCATCGTAAATTATTTCAATTTTCTTTTGAATGCGCTATTGCTTCAGAAAATTTAGTGATTTGTTTCGTCGTATAAAGTGATGCATTTTTGTTTCAGACGTTACGCCACAAATCAAAAGTTTCGATCTTCCGAACCGCACAGTGTAAAGAGTATTTGGAGGTAGCTGAAAGTTTGTTTGGGTGATGCATCTGCCAGTCTCACTGAACTCTTGCAACGTTTCAGAAGAAGCGTGGCCCAAGTCGACAATGTGCGACTCCTCATCCGGGTACCAAACCAACCCGGATTTTTACTGGTAAGTTTCACTCACGACCCAAACTATTGGAATTGAGGATTGTGTTAATAGTTTTGCTAGCAAACAAGAAATCTCTTAAGCAAGTGATTTCGGGCAAAGCGGATAAGACCCGTAACTAGTTAGATAATTTAATATTAATATTTTGATGCTTGTAGCATGATAGTGAAACAAATGAAGGATACAGGTACTGTTTCTGAAATGTCCAATTCAAGTACCCCCCCGTTGAGTAATACAAAAGCACGAAAGTCAAAACTTACCACCTACAATGCGGATGTTAAAGATATGCTTTATTTGACTATTAGTAATTTTCTGGCGGCAAATTTTCTCTCGGTCCTGGGCGGCGTAAACCCACGCTTCGGCAGTGGCAGAGAGGATTACACCCCGAAAAAATATCACATTGAAGTACTTAAAGCCCTTATTATACAGGATGTAAAAAAATAGCAATATTGCATTAGGGCTAGTCCGTTTCTGCTAAACTGAATTGAATGTGTTGTTTTCTATGGACACCATCATGTGTGTCTCTTTTCTGTATTTGCCTTAGCCTCTTTGTATTTTCTTTTCAGGTTTGAACATAGGGTTCACGAGATTCAATCCGAATACGCTGGCGAGCTAGTGCGCACCGGTAGTCCGTACATTTTGTGCACTCAATTGCCTGGTCATTGGCGTAGCAATAAGACGTTGCCAGTAGCGTTCAAAGTAGTCGTTGTGGGTGACGTCGTAGATGGAACGGTTAGTATTTAATTTCTATGATTGATTTGATTATTATTGGACAACGCATCCCAACGAGAACATTACTAGACTCTCATTTGGCACTTGTGAGTGCCTCCACCAGTAACAGCATTACTATTGATTGGGTGGGAGGACGCCTAAGAGGCTCAATGGGGCCCAAGTGCTGTGATCTTGTCTGATTGCCTTTCCTCCTGTACAGAATCCATCCCAGGAAAGAAAAATAAATAGCGATTCCATGAACACTAATATTTATAAGAAATCTGATGAATGAAAAGTATATTTTAGAAGTTATTAGTTCATTTAACTCAAGTATATTTTTCGTGTCCACAGGCTGTGACAGTTCGAGCGGGTAACGACGAAAACTGTTGCGCAGAAATAAGAAACGCGACAGCGCACATGAAGAACCAGGTGGCAAAGTTCAACGATCTAAGGTTCGTTGGCCGAAGTGGAAGGGGTGAGTAGTTCAGACACTTAATGTTCTTTTTTAGTGCGGTGACATGACTCGAACCACGACGAAAGCCTAAGGCCCAAGCACCCATACCCTACTGTGGGGCTAGGGGGGATGCAGGGGTAAGAGGGGGACGCCACACGAGGTAACATCTGTGCATGGATATTGTACATGTACACATTCTGGGGATCGAACCAGCGCAGCGCATGGTGTCGGGTTAGTAGACCCATAACGGCTACTACTACGCCACCGCTGCTGCCTATGATGCAGGATAACGCAAGGCCACGCACGGTGATGCGTGTGTCAGCATATCTGCTAGAGGTTGGTATCAGCACCATGTACTGGCCTGCTTGTTCGCCAGATCTTAATCCGATTGAGCGCGTGTGGGACATGCTGGAAAAAAATGAGGAACCGATCAGTTGCACCCTATACTGTCAATGAGCTTCGAGTGGCACTTGAAGAGATATTCTTTGGAGGTTCCACATTTTTTAGCCCCCTTTTTAACATCACCTTAACGTAAGCCTTTGCAAACAGATTTAGACAGCGAAGAAAGGATACCAATGAACGCCTGTAACAATGTGACAACGCCAGAATTCAATGATCACGAATCTCAATAATAATAGGCGCTGGATAGTTCACAAGGGTGATTGACTGTGCCAAAGTTTGAAAGCCTTCCTTTCCGCAAAAAGTCCAGAAAAGATGGAATGCAATGAAGATTCCAACTTTTCTGCACAATCACAGAAAGGGGGTTACCATTAGCTTCCGGTAGCTCAGTCGGTGGCATGAAGACATCTACAGGCGTGTAGCTGTGTGGCATGGCTAGTGGATAGAAGAACAAACAGAACACAAAAATTTAACAGACTTTATTTAACTAGAAAAGCACTTTCATTACATTTGAAATTGAAATTTTAAAGAACAAAATGAAAAATTTAAATCTTTGGCGCTGTTACAAAGTCATCCACTTATCTTTCGCTAAGCTGGTCCATTTTGACTGGACTGAAGCGAGGATGGCCAGGTGCTTCAAGTGGAGGTCCCAGTTATGAGGGGTGACCTCACATTTAGTGGCTTCAAAACTAGATGTAGGCGAAGGATGCAGTGAAGTTGAACTTAAACGTGATCTTCATCAAGAATGAAGCTGTAAGTGATGGCGCAGCCAAGGCACATGCATGGGTGAAGGCACGGCAAAGTGATAGGCCATGCAAGGCAAAACCAAAGACAAAGGAAGGCAAAGTCAAAGAAAAAAGGAAAGTCAAAGACAAAGGATGGCAAAGTCAAAGACAAAGGCAAAGGGGGTGGCCCCAATCTGAAAAAGAACCGTATGCATTAGCAACGTGCCCCAATGGCCAAGGCATTTCCAATCTCAATCTGCCTCAAAAGAGAACCAACGATTTTCTAGGTTAGAATTACATTACATAGTTTGATAAAATCAAACCGAAAATTGGAAATGCCTTTCATAAAATAAAATCATGAAATAGCAAAAAAAGCGTAAAACAAGATGGTGGTCATCAAAAATTTCTCCACATGCTTCTGATATAAAAACACAAATATCGAATATTCATAATCAACCTACTCATAATTTCACTGAACTATGAATATATATACGAACACAGAGGTAAAATCGATATGGATCGATTTCTACCTCGATTTGATTAAAGTTATGGCCAATGATCGAAGTAGTCGAAAATGATGTTCGATGGATATTTTAAAATCGTACAAGAAATAAACCACTTACATATCGATTATCTATAAACTACAGGCAGATCCAGCAATAAAACTGTATAGTATTATAAAACTCACCATTTTATCCTATTGGACACACATTTTACAAAATGCTAGCACATGGTGCTATATGACCTCATGCTACAGAGAACAAAATTCTCAGCTCTTGTTAGATCGGCGGCTCAAGTGAAAAGTGAAAAGGAAGCGCGAGGAAGATCACAGATCAGGAACTCCGCATCAAGCGCGCTCCAAGCGGAAATGTTTCCAAGTAAAAAAACTAGAGATGGGATTAATGAGGCGATTCTGAAATGAAAATCGAGAAGTGATTTAATAAATACAATCGGACGGTGAAACCGTTACAAGTTCCACGATACTTCAAGACATTCTGACGGCTTTAAGTTCCTCTTATATTAATTTTCTTTTGTTAGCATTATAAGATCTGTTGACATTCGTATCAGAATATTCCCTCCATTAGCTATTAAAGTTCATAGGTGGTTTGAAATGTAGTCGCCATCAGCAGTTAAATCGACTAGTTCGGTCTGAGTGTACACCAGTTTATTGATTACTTTATGAAAAAGAAACAAAAATGCGTTGGAGGTACCAGAAAGTATAAAGCTCTACAAGGTGTAAATCTTGTGACTTGAAATAAGAGGTATTTTGAGTGTCCATATTAAAACGCCATAAACTGGTCCGATATCTATCAACATGCTCCAGTACAGTCCAAGCTCTGTTTTAAAATCTCTTCAAGATACCAACGACTATTTTCAATCCAAATATCTTAACATCTGAGCATATCGATGAATGCCTGGTTCTGTGAAGCGTAATAATGAAACTGTGAACAAAAAAAATGTGTAAAGTAGGTTTACTCTGTATTTCTCACCCGATTCTGTCATCACCTAGATTACGGTTTCCAGACCTAATGTCATAAGAATCATGATTCAAAAGAAAAGGAATTGATTAAAGCAACAGTAAAAGAAGCAAAGACACAACTTAAATGACACAAAGTTTAATCAGGGGACTTTGATAAAATCGAAAGCCATACCATAGCAATTATTATCGTTATATCGTAAAAGTCTACAATTCTACACCTTCAATTATAAAAACAAACCAATGATATTTCTATTTCAGTGCAAATGTATGGACTATATCCGTGTAAATGTTATATCGTATCTATACTGTTTATATTATTATTATATTCCTGATGAGTGGAATTCAGCCAGCCCGTGGTAAAATATAGGCTGCACGCCTATGACCTGCTAATGTGGGGACGTGACCCGAGATGTGAAGCGGTGAACATAGGGATGATTCGAACTTATCAACGCTTTAATTTGTCTGATACTTGGTATTAGCAGGATCAGAAGCTGCTCAATAACTGCATGTCTGTCACCAATAACAAAGATGCAATATTTACAACCCCTACCTCCTATAACCGCCAACCCCAATTAAACACCCATATCATTTTTTTCAGAAAATGATCAGGAATCTCTGAAACGTAAAAAACGTAATTTGCGCGATTTTTATTTTTTCGTTTTTTGCGAGTATAGTTCCGCCGCCACTGCATCGATTGTACAAAACCCACAAAAAGTTTTGTTCTTGGCATAGTAGCGGTCTCATGTCAAAGTTTCATCAAGATCTAAGTGATACTTTCCAAATGATCAGCGAACATCCAAAAAACATGATATCACATTTTGAATATTTTTCTCGATTAAAATATTGCGTGGCCAAATGGCGTGGAAAGTAGACACGTTGATTTAACTTACTTCTTGTTACACTACTGTAGTAGTGTATGACGACAGTAAGTCCATCTCTGTTGTACGGCTCCCTGGACTGGTGGCCTTGCATTAGAACTGAGACAACTAAGGCCAAACTCAATAAAATTCAGCGTTTGGCCTGTATTAGCATTACAAGCGCTGTGCGAACAACGCCATTAAGTGCAATGGAAGCTCTGTTGGATCTCCCACCATTGGATCTGGTGATCCGCGGTGAAGCGAGAGTAGTCGCTCATCGCCTGTGCAGTCAGGGCACCTGGGCTTTCTTGAATCCTGTCAAGGGGCATACTGCGATCTTAGTCGAATTGCAAAAGAAGGAGCCCGTCCTTCTAAGCCCTAAATATCGCGTCAACTGCAAGTTTATTGTGGAGTATGCAACGAGGGAGGAGTGGGACGCCGGTAGCCGGAGACTCTCCGGATTGAACGGGCAGGTCTGGTACACGGACGGCTCGGTCACCGAAGAGAGCTCAGATGCTAGGGTCTCTGGGCCTAGAACTAGGCTATCTCTGCCTCTCGGTGGATACACCACTATTTTCCAGGCGGAAATATTTGCGATACTGGCTTGTGTATCTCACATTCTGGAGGAGGGTGGGCCTAGGAGAAGAATAACAATCTTATCGGACAGCCAGGCTGCAATGAAAGCACTAAGTGCCTGTAAGATTACTTCGAGTCTTGTATTGCAATGCAGGGAGGCTCTGGATTGCCTCGCAGCGAGGCATCTGGTATCGTTGATGTGGGTACCGGGGCACGCTGGGATAAGGGGCAACGAGACGGCGGACAATCTGGCGAAGACAGAATCAGACAGCAAGCTCGTTGGTCCTGAGACAGCTCTAGGAGTGACCGCGCATAGAGCTAGGAAGAAAATGGAGACGTGGGTTGCAAGACAACACTCTCAGAAATGGAGAAGTATCTCCAGACATCTACGCCAGGCACGGGAACTCATTGAAGGGCCCAGTGCTAAGGATGGACATTTCTGCTTATCTCTGAATAGAGCCAACCGAAGGTTGCTGGTGGGACTGTTAAGGCGCCACTTGCACGTGATGGGTGTGGCTGAGGATCCCTTGTGTGAACGCTGCGGGGTAGAGGAAGAGACCTCGGCGCACGTTTTGTGTCGCTATGAAGCTCTGAGCTACTATAGGCAGACTATACTGGGGTTTATTACTTTGGACCCTCAGGACGTCAAGGAGCTTGGACTCAAGGCGATTCTCAATTTCAAGATCCATTCATTGATTCAGTGTATGAATCTTGGATCCACACCCTAACTTAAAAAGTGACATTATATCGATTTTTATTATGCGTGTTTGTTTTGAAATGGCAAGAATGTCTTCCTATAATATATCTTTAAATTTAACTTTTGGGCTTGTAGTAGGCGTGGAATGAATTAGCGGCACACTAGCGGCTACCCAGTGCACAAGTTGACATTTTACCGATTTTTGTGTCATCATATAGTTTTTTACGTAATAATCCTGCCGATAGACCATCTGTACGTGAAGTGTGGTACATATACAATTCAGGGTT